TGTGTGTATATATATATATATATATATATATATATATATATATATGTATATCTATATTCTTCTTTTAAATTGATTTTCATGTATTAAAACAATTATGATGGTCCAAAATTATTTTTTTAATTATGATAAGTTCTTCTTTTTAAGTGTTTTTTATTGCATAACCATATTTCACCCCAACCCTTTTTATAATTTCATGATCCATGTGTTAAATTATAAAATAATTGTTTTGTTATTATTATTAATCATAGAATGAACTTAAATATATAATATAATTTTATTATAGTAAAATTCTTAAATAATTTAAGAAAATTTTGCTCTTATAATTATAACAAATTTTAAAATAAATAAAAACTAAAGTAACATATAAACTCTTATCTCACGTAAATTATAGTTATTTCTAATATAAATAGTTATATGGAGGGAGGAAGAAGTGTGATAACAAGGGTTTTATTTTTTATTTTTTATATTTATTCAACTTGCATTATAGTTTTTCTCCTCACAACTTGCAGTGTTATTATATATTCTGTTTTATATAAATTATTGTTTCGTGGAAAATATTATAACCCAAAAAGAGCATGTCACTAATATACGAATGTACCTAGGATAGCTACTAAATTGGTCATCTTGCAATTAAATTATTTTATTTGCAGAAAAAAAATATTTGACATATCAACTGGAATACGTCTATACATGTCCATGATGCATTTTTATATTTCTTTTAATATAGAATAAAAAAGATGGAGGCCTTGCTGGGATTTGATAGCGGTTATATCTCCAATATTGTTTTCATCATCTCTTATACAATTTAAATAATTAGAAAACAACATCATCATCATCATCATCATGATAAATATTTCGAACTTTGGTTCGAATGTTTTTATATTTGTTTTTAAAATTTTTAATAACAAGACCATTTATTGTTTTTTTTGTCGGTTTTCGGTTTGATTCATGTTCTAATTAATTTTGGTTGGAACTCGTTTTTCATCTTAAAATTCAATTTGACACACGAACTTTTAAAAATAATTTTTTGGTTCGAACATCATTTTTCATTAAAAAGAAAATCGCATACGTTCGATTCATTCATTTATCTTTATTTTCATTTTAGATTCGTTTAATTTAATTTAATTCGAAAGTCGAACCGAATTTTACTTAAAATCCAATTACAAAGAAAAAAGACACAGATTCCATGAAAAAAGAATCTAAAGCAGGTGCATATCCGTGGAAGGCTACATATAATGGGACTTAATATTTTAATAGAAGATAACATTGATGATATAGAAAACCAGTTTATGTTCAGGATTGCAATCATACAATAATGTTGACCCTCCGTCGTCCGACCAACCAAAATAATCCATGACTAATAATGATTCACATATGTGAGACATTAATTTAATTACAAATATCGAAATATTAATTAGATTCAAATTTAATTTTGTGTTTTGTTGTGTATATATGTGTGTTTCGTCTATGCGCTAAACTGTGGCCATTGTCACTCGCACCTCGCAATTATGTTGCCTTTAATCATTTTGCTTCCCCCTTTACTCCATTATGCAAAAAACTAAACGATTAGTGGGGGATCTCTCTGTTTTTTGTTTGATTCTCTCTCCCTTTCTCTCTCTCTCTCTCTCTATATATATATATGTATGTATATATGTGTGTGTTGTATCTAGGGATGGGCGTTTCGGAAAACGGTTCGGGTTCGGGACGGAATAGATCGGTTCGATTCTTTCGGTTTTACAAAAATAGGTACCAATCGGGTTTTTTATTGTATTCGGTTTGGTTCGGTTTCGGTATCGGTTCGGTTCGGTTCGGTTATGGGTTTTATTAAAAAAATGATAGATTTCCTTTACAAATATTCGGTTTTTCGGAATTTTTAAAGTTTGGTTCGGTTCGGTTCCGGGAAAATTCGGTTCTTTAAAAATGGTACCGTTCGGAAAATAACAACAGTTTCGGGTCGGAAAAAATACCGTTTAACGGTTCGGTTCAGTCCGGTTCCGAAGAACCGAACCAAAACGCCCAACCGTAGTTGTATCATTGGAATCTCTCTTTGGTTTATTGGCGGTTCGCTTTTGAATAATCAAACATCAAATCATGGGTCGGTTCAAGTTGTAACTTTTGGTGTATTCCTCCTCTTCGAGGTTGCGAATAGATATATTTTAATTGGTTTATTACAAATATATGGTTAAAGATAGAAACTTTTGTCTTGTGATCTCCATCTGTACTATACATATGTACGCTTTTCATAGAATCTAGCGAAATATCCATTTGATGCGTTTTTATCGTATTTAATAAATATAAATTAGTTAACATTTTCTAAAAATTAAATAGTTGGCGATTAATTGCTATGTATGAATAATAAAAGAAATAAATAATTTCCTCCATATTAAGAAAACTAAAATATGCTTTTATAATCCAAAATTTGAGTCTCCATTTTCTGAAAGGGGTATTCACTCTGATTTTTACGGTCGTTTGGAACATATAATTCGATCAAAGACGGGATGAACTTTCGAATTATTAAAAAAAATTATGCTTTTATATTATATTTGAACAAACTAAAAATTGATGAAAAAGGACGATACAAAAGAGTTTTTGTGGCTTCAAAAGACAATAAAATATGTTTTTTGACAAAAAAAATACAAGAAAATATGTTATATATATATATATATAATGAAAGAGAATCTGGAAGAGGATTCGTCTTACGGCACCTAATTAGGATTCTGTGTGAGGTCCACCAATATGTTATTGGTGGTCTCAACATCATCCCACTGCATGCCTGACACCTGTTCTTCACTATTAAATCAGATTATGACATAATAATACACCCACAATTTTTTTAAATATATATATTATATATACCCCCTCTTTCTAAAATTTAAATAAATAAAAACACGAATATTCATATTTTCAGCCCGTGCCCTTTTAATGAAATTCCTATGCGACGATTTTTGTAATAAATATTAAAAGTAGTGGTAGGGATAGGAGCTCTTTTTTTGAACTTTTAAATATATATTTTTTTCTCTTTTTAGGTGTCGTATTAATCTTCAAGAATTCTTTAGAATCGATGATTTAATAGTAGTTGTATAATAGTATAATCTAAAGACGATGTTTTGACCTCGATTCAGTCAAAATATTGAAATTGTAAATAAAATAAAATAAAATTAAAATTATGAAAAGTTAATTATGTACTACATATAGACGGTATATACACTTTATAATATTCAATCTATACCTTGATCTTTTTTGTAGTAAAAAAATAAAATTACAAAATATTTCGTTGAAAATTCATTATTACTTGCAACTTTTAACAACGGATCGGATTGGATTTTGCAACGATACCTTTAACAACAAAATATATTTTTCGTTTTTATTTCATTGCAAATATAAACTTTGTAATTTTCAACTATATGCAATGATAAAAGAACTATATATATATATTGTATTTACTTTGCTATCCCTTGATGTGTATAGTCTGTCATTTTAGTCATATACATTTAAAAATATTGGCCAAGTATAATATAAAGTATCTAGGAAGATTGGTAATTTATGAAAATATACGAAAATGAAAATAATTTGAGATATATAAGTCCTCCCGTCCAATCGTTCTATATATATTCACACTTCTATAACAATGAGTATTATATATATAGAAATAGATCTAGAAAATTGTCATTATAGAAATAACAATAATATAACAAGAAAAATAGATTATATTAGAGATGCGTATATAAAATTAGTACTAATATAGTAACTAACTTTATGTAATTTAATTAATTAAACCTAATATAAGGACACACATACTACGTCATTATACTAAGATCTAGGATAAGCATCGATGTATATAAGATCTCCAAATGAAAAAAGAAGAAAAATACAGAATCCAACGGCCCTGATTCAAGCTAGTGAGAGACGAGACAACTATATGTGTAGACATCGTCGAAACGAAACAAATACATATATATGTGTGTGTGTGTGTCTGGTTTCACATGATCCAGAATCCGACGGCCCTGATTGCGTAATCATTATAAGTGGGCCCTACCTCCAAACCCTAATCTCCATGTATCTCTCTCTGAGCCAGATATTTTATAGGATATATATATATATACAAACACCTCCCGAAACATTTCAGCGGTGGTCCGAAAATATTAGAATGAATTTTCACGTATTTTATTGGACATATACAATATATGATTAATTAATTAATTGGTGCCAAATAGGAAAAAGAACAATCAATTTGATTCATGGGAAAATAGATGTTTTCCAATGATTTTATAGATTACTCGGTAATTTAAAGATCGAACCAAACAAGATCGATGTTTCCCTTTTTTTTTTTTCGGGCATAATTTAAGAGATCAAGCTAATAAAATTTACAAACCGCATTGATTTATTGCATGCTTTAATTATATATAGTAACTATAAATAAAACTAGGAGGAATCGGGATTAAGTGAAATTACAGTTATGCCCAGAGGGCTCCGACCTCGACGAGCCGAGGAACAAGGTGACCACTGAGGTGGAGAGCGACGAGCGACTCGTTGCATGCTTTAATTATATATAGTAACTATAAATAAAACTAGGAGGAATCGGGATTAAGTGAAATTACAGTTATGCCCAGAGGGCTCCGACCTCGACGAGCCGAGGAACAAGGTGACCACTGAGGTGGAGAGCGACGAGCGACTCGAGCCCTCCGATGCCCGCGCCGCCGATGAAGATCGCCGGAGGAAGAGGCGCGTGAGAGACGGTTGCGGCGGCGGATATCTCGGCGTCGTCGAGCTCGATGACGGTGGGGTTGACTCCGACGGTGGAGAGGAGCTTTTTCATGACGTGGCACATGCAGCATGAGGAGGATCGGGTGAAGATGATCACAGGATGCTCCGATATCAGCCGTTGGATCTTCGTCTCCGCCGTCTCATCCCCGTCGATGGAAAGGCTCGCGGCTCCGGCGGACGGCGGCGGAGGAGAAGGGATGACGGCGAGGTCGAGCCTCACGGCGTCGTTTTGGCAGTTCCGTGCACCTCGCATCGCCTTCATATGAGAGAGATAGAGTGAGAGTCTTGATGTCAACGCAGTGTGGGAGAGAGATAAATGGAGAGGAGGGTATGGTTGTGACGTCAGCATTTGCTATTCATTTATATATTTGTTTACCGTCTGAATTTGGAATTTACATAAATTTTGCGATTACATTATTTAAAATGGAAAGAATCTCTAAAATAAATGACGTTATTGATCTCTGCATATAAAATAATCGAACATAAGAAACTGATCGATAAGTGACGTATATATAATTTCATATAAATAAATATAATCGAACTTTAAACGTATGCTATGTAATCAAAAATTTTTGAATTGAAAAAATAGCGTTAGATTTGAATGAAAATAAAGTAAATATATATATATCAAAATTGACTAAAAGATGAAATGGGAATATTTTTTAAATGACAAGTTGCATCTCTACATTAATGGAATCATATAGGATGTATACTGGTGAATATGTTTTCTGTTTTTATATAGTTGGTTTAGTGGAAATCGTCACATTATTAAAACGAAGGAGAATAGATGCGAAAGGATGAGAATGAAATCGATTTCGAAATTAAACTTATTGAAAAATAATCAAAAGAATATATTTCACAATTAATCAAATATCCTTCTTATATCTTTCTAAATTCCACAAAATAGCACATGATTTTGAATCTAAATATATTAGATACGGTCAAATAAATTTGTATTTATCAATACGAAGTCGATTATAATTTTCACTTAATGAATTTTTATTTTACATATTGAAATTATCAGTTATTTTGTATCATTGAACAAAATATATAATATGTCAACTGTTATCCTATAGTATTAATTTTTATTGCGTAATAACTACTCATTACTGCACACAAAATTATTCAGTTTGAAACTATAAAATTTAGACAATTAAGTCAATGTTGAGGTAATATTCAAACACATTCAAATTGTATAAATATTATATTTATATATATATATATATATATATATTATAACGTGCAAATATAATAAAGGAACACCATTCATAGATTTTAGGTTTCGCAGCACATATGAAGCATTTTTTTCGCGAGGAACCATGGTATAAGTTTATCAAAAAAAATTAATATTATAAAAAAACCATGTTATAAAATAAAAGCACTAACAAAATGAATGGAAGAACATTTACTCGCACATGTAAACCTCAAAATATAGTATAAATAAATAATTATTAACGGAAACAAAATATGTCTATTCATAATATATCTTTGATACCATCCACATATTGACCGTATACAGATTAAAGATACTACATGATTGGCGCGTGGATCACACGGAGCAGCATGCCGCGTGGGGATAGTTGATGAATAAGAGAAGGTGGTGGGAAGTGGTCACATGGGGCATCTCCCAAACAAAGGAGTAAATGCTGCTGACGTCGTCTTGACTTTTTACTCACCGTAACATTGGAACTCCTTGACGTCAGCAATATCCATCCTTGTCTCCGCTTACGTGGACAAGGATCTTTCAAAATTTTGTAAAAATACATTTATAAAACAAAATAATTGGTACTCGTACTCGGGATAACAATAGTTTTTCATGACGTCAAATTCACGTAATATCATATTATATATAATATCGAGACAATAAATTGAAGAAAAAAAGAATAAATTAAATCGAGTTACGTCTCCGTGTCCATTGGTTAAGGAGGTGCTACTGCGTATCGAATAAGTTTTGGGGTCAAATTTATAACAAAAAAAGTTTTGGGGTCAAATTCAAGTATATACAAAAAAGATTATAAACACTACTCTGAATCCTTTTAAAAACTTCCCAAACATGTAAACAATCGTATTAAAAATTCGGTTATAAATTATAAAAGATTTTTTAGTTGGCATATATCCCCGATCTATGTAAAAACTTAGTTTATAAAATATACGTAGTATTAATAAACAACTAAAAATAGTAAATTCTCTGAATTTACTAGTTAAAAATAAAATATTGTAGCTTTTTTTGTTTGATAAAAGCTATGCGAATATTTAGTTATATAAAACCTAAAAGGACTCGTTTGCAATATTATTGATGTTTACTTTAAAAAAATATTGCATTTATGATTTAGAGAATGAACTCATAAACTTCAATTATTTAATATGTCCATGAAAATAGAAAGTCAAACAAAATGTGATGATGGCTGCTACTTACCAAAGGTTTTGATGTGAATGGCAGATTACTCTTGGGCCCATTGGTAATCAACAAATGGGAATAATCTCAATGAATATGAACCGACCAATCGCGTTCTCTTGAATTTTCATTATAATGGAATATGCACTACTAACCAATTCTTTATATTGTTTTAATATTGATAAAAAAAATATTATATTTATTCAAACACAAAATATCTTAAAATGTTGACAAATAACCGAGAAACCCTAAATTTTTATGTTGATCATGGACAAAATTCAGTTGCTTCTCCATTCGTTTAAGGGATATTTACATTATGTATTATATAAAAGTCTTGTTTTTGATGAAAAAATCGAAAATTCATTTTTATGTTACATATTTTTTTTATGATTCCGAATAAATTGTATTTGTCCAAATAAAAGGGAAGGTCTTTCTTTTAAAAAATCGATATATGTGGTCTTTTGGATATATAACCATATATAAATATATTGCATATCAATCCAAATCGCATGACTTCTAATTTGTTTTTATTTTTAAATTTAATAGGATTATAAATAATTATTCATATATAATTTATTGAGTTATTGATTATTCTAAATTTATGTTAGCTTTTTCTGCAAATTTATAGGTTACACGAAGCATAATAAATTATAAATAATTAGAAATGCGTTGTTTGGTTGTGCCACGGTAAACATCAAATTAATTCAACCTTTGCTTTCTTAGTAATTATTGCGCCGAGTATGACTTTTCCAAGCTTTGTGGGATGAGATTTATCCTCTTCGAATTCCATTAAAAAATTGTTTATATTTATAGTCATATTTAATTGAATTGAGAAATTTATTACCATATATATATTCACCTTTCTAATTTTCCTTTTATTTTCTAGGCTATTTTGGTCCCACGAGTTTCTAAAAACCCAATTTTTGTATAAAAAAAAATCTCATTGATTTAATATTGAAATTAGGTTTGTAAAATGATCAATGAATCTTTTGAGAAAATAATTTCAGACGAGAAACAAGCGTGACGCAAAAGGGGCGTGGCAGTTGATGGGGACGTGATGGCGTCATCTTCTGAATCTTTGTCGGTCCATAAATGCGAATTTTTTTTCCTTTTACCTTATAACCTTATGACGTTTTCATTGTTCTTTTGGCAAAATTATAATTAAATAAAATTTCCAACAAATAATTGAGAAGAAAGATTACATATTCGTTTCTTGATTAATCTCTCTTACAATTTGAACTACCTAAACCAGTCAACGTATTTGAGTAAATTTCGGTTTATATTCCGGTTTAGTTAATAATAGAATAATTTAACCAAAACAAATAATTTATAATTATAATCGAACCGAATACAATATAAAATCGAATGATTAAACCCAAAAAAATTAATCTGAACCGAACCGAATAATAAAATTAATCAAAAGACCGAATTTTTCTTTTAAAATCGAATCAAATTTAAACCCAATAAAATTGAACCGAATCTAATTGAATTCGATATAAAATTGAACGACTAAATTTTTTCTAAAACCGAGATAATCAATATATGAATATAACCAAACCGAAAACCGAAAAGGTTTCATTACCAAATTAATGACCGAACAGCGTTTAGAGGGCTGTTAATTGGGATGCAAAACAGTGGCAATTTTCGTGCTTTTATGAACTGATTCATCGAAAAGCAAATTGAATTTTCTTGATTTGGAGAGATTCTGTTAGTTAAAAGTCGGTTGGCAGTTTTGTTAATGTTCGACACGTATGCTTGTGTTCTAATTTTGGGCCTATTAAGGCCCAAATGAAAGCCCATGCTTTTAACTTTTAATGGCCCAATATTATAATTTGATGGACTCCAAGGGCAAGGAATACTAAAGGAACTAATGAAATCAATTATGATATAACATATCGTAGCTAACTAAATGTAATAAAAGAAAAAAAAAAGGAATTCTGCTTTTATATATATCGATTATCAATTATCAGTTTACGTAGAAGAAAAAACTATAAAAAATAAATCTAGCTATGGTTAGATCAAGATTTAATTAACCTTTTCTTTTCACGTTTATTTTAAAAAATTAAACATCTAAATATTTTTATTAAAGCATTTAGAATATCATTTTTTAATTATTGTTTTAGCCTATCATCGATTTTAATTTACATGTACTATAAGGTAAAATTCGAATACATGTTACAGCACGTGATAAGGTTCTATTCAATCGTTAATTCAACAATTTATTTACACAATGCATATGAGAGAGTTTATATAAACGAACGAATGTTTTAAGAGGTTATTTATTTTAATTAATTATTAATTATAGTGATCTGCATTAAATGTTAAGGCCAGTTCAAGTTAGCAAAAAACACAAAAACATGATCATTAATGTTGTTGAGACATGTTGGGAACATAACTTTTTCAAATGTATTTGGAAGTTTAAGATACAAAATCCAAAAAATATTTATTTATTTTTTCTAATTTTACTTACATCATCATTCAAATATATTTGTTTTTTCATACATCATCATTCAAATATTTTATTTTATTCTGAATGCAATAATTAAAGAAAGTGTAATCAAATTGTCTTATTCATGTTGCTTTTATTTAAATAGTCTTTATGGAATATGTAAAAAAAATCTTACGTGTCTGTGATATTATATACAATTATTGCAATTGTCAAAGCTAAGGTAGACACGTAACGAATTAAATATTTGGAAATTTATAAAGGCATTAAAGAGCTGTGATTTCATTATTAAATCTAAGTCTATAAATATATTGGTATGAAATAAATGTATAAATAAATTAAAAATATATATACAGGTTTTTTTTTTCCCGATACTTGAATAGCCGGAATATTTGTTTCATTTATTACAAAGAAGTTTAAAAGATGTATTTTCGTCCAATATCTTTTTTAAGACAAAAATGCACATCCTATATATAAAATTAAATTGAATGAATAATATTATTTCCAATTTAAATAAAATATGAAAATAATTTTAAGAATGAACTAAAATGAAAATGTCTGAAAGAATGACGTGTGAAGAGTTTTTAATAGAAAACATTAAATTTGAAAACAATCGAATTAAAATAAATTTGAAATCAAAATATTCATATTATCATTATACAAAAAAAAGAAAATAATTGAAAAATCGAATTAAAATTTTAAATTTTATTTTTCATATATATATATATATATATTGAGAGAGAAAGAGACTAATAAACAATAATGGATGACTAGACCAGTAATAAAAACACATTTTTTTTTTAATGAGAAATGATATAAAAACAGAAGAGTGTAATCATCCATTGAAGAAGAAGATTCGAGTCAAAAGAGAAAGCCACATTTAAAAAAAAAAAAAAACTTTGGTGGAAGAGAAAGACGCAATTGGGGGACCAAAGAATAAGATTTGAACACTTTGAGTCACAAGAAAAGAAGAAACGAAGGGACAGAGAGGAGAGGGAGAAGGCATAATCATCTGAAGCCAAAGAGGAATATTCCATCATTTATGGTAAGTTATTGAATTTATTATCCAAAATGGTTATAATTTGGTAGATTTGTAATTTGAATATAAATTATGTTAATAACTTCAGTTAATTTTTTTTGGTTTAAATATGTTTGTTAATGTCGAATATAATCAATTCTGACCGTTTTTTGTATAATATTTTTTTCTCCATTTATGGTTTGGCTTGGGATCTATGCTAATATAAAACTGGATCTCTGTGCCATGAAAAAAAAAATCTTTAAATCTCATTTTATTTTTCCAGTGTAAATTCTAAAAGAAAAAAAGTATTTTACCTTTTTTTTATAACAAAATTTAAAATCACATTGGGTTTGATTTTGTGGGCAGGGTTCAACTTTTAAACACAAATTAGATATATTTTTTTTTATAACGGAGGATCCCTAACTGCTACCTCCGGTTTGGGAGCAGCCTTTGTATATGGATCATATAAACCCAGAAATTACCTCCCTCTCCACCAGTCAAAAATTGAACACTCAACCTCAAGGTGGAGTTACCTTCTATACCAAAGTTGATCATTCGCCTACGATCTGTTGGGTCACAAATTAGATATATTAATGATACATAAATGTAATCCATAAATTAACGAACAACAATAGATGAGATGACAAAAAAAAATCCTATCATTGCGATAAGGGAATGATGTCGGGTCTAAAATGGGGTATACGTCCAACAAAATTTTATAATAATATGAACAAATATTTCTTTTTAGATATTTCGATGTTTTTCTGTATATAATATAATAATTTAATATCTAGATTTTTATATTATACGGATAATATTGTAACCTATTTATTTAATATGAATTATAATAATAACAAGACAGCAAGGCCCATCATCATTACCAACATCATGAATGGATCCTGATAATATATATATATATATATATATGCAAACCCACAAGAATCAAGATTCGCCCTAAGGGCTTCCATATCATTGCCATGGCAATTAAATAAACAAGATTAAATACATTACCTTTATTTGAAATTCCAACAAATTGCTTTGATTATTTTATGAAAAAATTAATGTTGCGCTTTTAGGGTTTTGTTTGTACAATATGAATGTGTGAGAGAAGCCACGTTTATAGCATCAATGAAGCCAACGATGAATATTTATTATTTCGATATTTATTCTTCTTGTGTTATAAAGTTTTTAAAATATTTTAAATAACTTGTAATCAATATTTAAAAACAATAATAAAAAGTAGATACTAATATATTCGAGATCTAATTTGAAGTTGATATTTTTATACGCAAAAGAAATACAACTGACTAATATTTTGATTAGAAAGAACATAAAGAAACATTACGAGATGAAAAAGAAAAACATATGTACAAAAGATAAAAATAAATATTAGTTTCTTATTTTTCTAAATTTAAATATTTTTAAATATCAACAAAATATAAATATTTTAGATAACTTTTAAAAATAAAAATATAGATTACAAAATAAAAAAAATCCATTGCAACGACTTTTTTTTTTTGATTCCATCAAAATTATTTAAAAAACCTACTTACCTTAAAAATCATAGGTTATCACAATAACAAACAAGACGGATATTTTCTCTAGTCGAAAATATTATTTAATAGATTTTTCATGTTGTAGGTGTATTATTTCATTGTCTATATTAATAAATAAAACTGAAAGCCGACAAATAGGCGTTGGTCGAGGGAAGGAGCCGTGGTGGCTCATGTGGGCTTTCTGTCTATTTCTTTTTCCTTTGATGTGTGTGCGCGCACACACACAAACGCACGCATTATATATGCGCACATATATATATATATAATATATCACAAAAGCCTATATAAATAAATAAAAAGTTCTGTTCTTCCAATCCGGACGGCTTGGGATTTTCCTCTTTTGCTCGCATTGATTTAATCATTTTTTCCACTCCTTTGTTGGAGTTTTCGAATTATTTTTTGGGTATTTATTCCCATATTCCGTATATATAATCGTCGAGCAAAGGTCTCGTCTTTAGGCCTTGTTTCGTTCTTTCTGGGTTTCTGTCTGCCCATCTTTTTTATTTTTTTTTGGGCGATTTATTTAATGGTTTTTGGAAATTGTGGGCTTTTGTAGAGAAACAGTATTAATGGAGGAAAACCAGAGAACCAGGTTCAGGAAAATTTGTGTTTTTTGCGGAAGCCACTCGGGTCGCAGAGAAGTTTTCAGTCAGGCTGCTGTTGAACTTGGCAATGAACTGGTTTGTTCTTCTTTTGTTGTTTATTCATTGTGTGTTCGTTGTTTTTTGTGATAAAGATTCAAACTTTTCGTTTTCTGCTACTGAAGAACACCCAGTTTTTTCTTCAACGGGATGGAAAAATCTCACCTTTTCTGGGTGTTTTATTTTTGGTGAATCTGGATACGAAGTTTTGGGCTTTGTGTGTTCGTGGGCGTGATCTTCAGACCCGGGTTCATGTTGTTTCATGTTATTTTACATAAGATGTTTCTTTGCAACGTTCTTAGATCCCACATATCGGTTATGTTGTAAGTTTCTGGGGGGTGAAATGCTTTGAATCGGCGTTACCCTTTTTCATTTGTTTCTTGCTCTGTAAATGCAATGTTGTGGTACGAAAAATCAAGTGTTGAATTCTTCGTTTGTCTCTTGAAACTGTGACCTGTTGATGAGTTTTCTGAATGCAAACATCCTTATCCCTTGTCCTTGCTGTTGAACTCTGTTATTACTGTGTCTCTGATTGATTGGTTGATCATATTTGGTGGTCAAATTTGGCACTGGGAGCCCTCTATTTTGGCATATGTCTGTGTAAGGAAGCTTCTTTGTTTATGGCGAATTTGAAGGTGAAGAGGAAGATAGACTTGGTTTACGGTGGAGGAAGTGTCGGGTTGATGGGATTGATCTCACGAAGAGTCTATGAAGGCGGTTGCCATGTTCTCGGGTGAGTTTTCCAGATTTTCAAAGAGCTTTTCTTTTGTTCAAGAAGGAGGAAGAGATATGCTCAATTCCTCAATTTGAAGAGTTTTCCCATGTAAATGCAGGGTCATTCCAAAAGCTCTAATGCCAATTGAGGTATGTATGTGTCTATCCTCTATAACTTCTGGAGAAACTCCGGATGTTTTCTTGGAGAAAGTTCAGAAATTTTCAAACTTTTTCTTGGACCACTGGTGGAGAATCTTAGCTTGGAGTTTGGAGTGACTTTTGTGCTGATGTCAGTTCAGATTGGGGAAGGAAGAAAACTTTTAGGATTCCAAGGCATTGTCTTTGAATGTTCTTGGGTTACATATAATGGATAGCTTACTGGTGCTTATGACTCGGATTTCATCAGATATCTGGTGAGACAGTTGGAGAAGTAAGAATTGTGGCTGATATGCACGAGCGCAAGGCTGCCATGGCCCGAGAGGCCGAGGCCTTCATCGCACTCCCTGGTAACTCCCCCGATTCTGAATTCAATGAGCTCGAGAAACCGGGTGGAAAATCCGTGTTCTCTTCTCTGTTCTTAAAGATAACGGCTTCTTGTTTCAGGAGGTTATGGAACAATGGAGGAATTGCTGGAAATGATAACATGGGCACAACTCGGTATCCACAAAAAAACGGTATTTCCGCCATTTCTGTTGCACAAGTGAAGCATTGAACGAATAACTGATTTGCCGAGTTTTGGGAAATATTATGTTGTCCTCTGCAGGTTGGTCTTTTGAACGTTGACGGGTACTACAACAGTTTGCTTGCCCTGTTTGACACGGGCGTCGAAGAAGGTTTCATCAAGCCCGGTGCTCGTAATATCGTTGTTTCCGCCCCGACAGCCAAAGAACTTCTGGAGAAGATGGAGGTATATATAGCCTTTTGCCTGTTCTTGAGATTTGCATCATCTTTGCTTCTTGGCATGTCTACACTTACAAGTACCCAATCTTTAAAACTTGCTTTCTGATTTGCCATAGCCAATGATAATTCGAAACTTACCCGTTGAATGTTCGAAATGGCCGTCGACATGTTTCTGCATAGTGACCGAGGAATTCAAGAATCTTGTACGGAACACAGGACGATTACTTTTGTCTCTGCATCTTTCTGGTCATTAGTCATAGTCTGGCAAACAGTGAAGATGATGGGAACTGGGGTTTACTTCCTCCATAGCCTTTCACACTTATTTTCATGTCCTGAAACAGTTTGAAGCAGTTTGGTTCTGTTTTTTCAGAATCTACTTAGCTGAATCACAGATCAAAACATCGATACCGACTTTTTTTTGTTCAAAAAATCTTTTATCTTGTGCAGATATATACTCCTTCACACAAGCATATCGCTCCTCTTGAAAGCTGGAAGATGGAACAGCTCGGAGAATACACTGATCAGCAAAACGCTCAGTGAAAAACACCTACCGAGTTGTTGTACTTCAATCCCATTTCTCTTTAGTTGATTCTTGATGTGGTGATTTTGAGCGTTTCTTGTGTATAAGCAAAACCAATCTTTTAGTTTTACTCAGAACAGCATATTCCCTCCCCGGCTCGCAAGGCGTTTCGGGGTCTGCAATCTTTCTTCCCCCTGTTGAATCGATATCAAGATTTCCCAATCCGATCTGCCACGACAGTGTAGGCATAGCCACGTCTATTATCGTGTTTTTGAACTGTAGAAAAGATTCATTCCGGCCACTCGAAAGGGTTACTCTGGACCGAGACAGGTCGGTTTTGCTGCAACTCTTGAGGAGAATAAAGGGACACATCAGTGCACAGAACCATGAAACCCAAGTTGTCTTAATCTTAGGAATCAAACTTATCTGTCATTTCATTCGGAGAGAGAGAGAGAGCATAAAAATATATACCCTACTCTTTATTTTGAAGAAGTGGTTTTTGTGGCCAAATCACATGGAAGGAGAAACTTGTCTCTTGTGAAAACAACTTGTGGAAGATGATGGGGGGTCCTGGCTTTATGTGGGGGATCCAAATGCTGCCTTGTGAATAATTGATAAACCACATTCACTTTCCTTGGTTGGTTGTTTAATCTTGAATCTCACATAAGATAATGCAACTATTGAATCTTTTTGTCATTAATATTGAAGCTCACATAAGAGCAGCAATGAAAATGACATCACAAAAGAAAACCCACACTTTCTGAACTCATTGATGATAATAATACCCATGAAGACTGTTTACCCATTTGGACATGGCCTCTGTTTTGTACAAAAAAGACTTCAACTTTACACTAACCCAAGAAGAAGAGGGAGAAAAAAAAACATTTTTTTTGGTGCTGAAAGAGGGAATCTTTCTGACCCATGAAACTCCCACAAGTGTCAATTCAAAGTCAAGGTCATGAGAGGTGGTCCCTTCTGCTTTGGGGGGATGGTCTTGTTCATCGGTATGAGGGAAAAGGAAAGGGTTTTTGGGGATTAGACATTGATGGGTTTTCTCTGCTCATTGCCTTTGTGGTGGTCATGGTCCCATTTCTTTTTTTTTAAATCATTCTCTCCCATTTGCACCAAAGTAAAAAAGAAATGGTAACCATGAATTCAACTTCACAAGTAGAAGTAAACGCAGCAAAGTTCCAGCCTAGAAAACAAGAAAGTTGGCTCCTCTCCAATCATTTCATGATCTATATCTACTTCTCAATATACTGGCGGTTAAATTACATGTAAGATGGTGGGGATGGTGTTTTTTGTGTTAGCAACTGTGAACTGAATACTTCAGTTTGGATTAAATCTCATTTCTTGCAGTAGAAATGACAAAACAATACTATGGATTTTAGACAATGGTTTTTCTAACACTTTATCCAAGTCAAGTAACAAGTGAATTTTGCCCAAAGTGTTATGTTTTCTACAGGACAAGGTCCTTTTTTTTTTTTGGTTATGGGTTGGAGCCTGGAGGGGTAGGGTTTGGTTGGGGACCCCAAGGGAGAAAAAGCAAAACAGAACATTATAATGTCTCTGTCTGAATTCTTCAACATTTTGTCTCCATCAGTTATGCCTGCTCTGATTTGCTACAATAACTAACCCTAAAAGATTAATTGCCATTCCATTATAACATCTCCCACTTTTGAATTTATGGCTTCAGCCCCCACCCACCCTTTTCTTTACTTCCAATCCCATGATTTGTACCTTAGTTTTGTTACCCGGTCTCTTTCTTCACTTTCTCTTCACCCCTTATCAAGAATATCTCCCGGTTTGGATAACCGGGGTACAAGAATCTAACCCGGTTTGCTAACCGACCCTCAGTCCTAACTATTGAACTCTTTCTCCACATCTATCAACCAATAGGCTTCAGCAAAAACACTATTAAGTCATAGGATGAATGAATCAAGGACTTAGTTAATACCTCAGGAGAATCCACTGATCTTCATATCCTCTGTCATTAATCTCCTCTCACTGTTTGTTAAGTCATCCCCAAGCTTTTGTCAAGAAGAACATTATAAAACAAAGAAACACTACAAAAGAAAAGGAGACAGCTAAACCCAATTCCTAAAGGGGTTCAGACTCTCTGAGGAACAAAAACGAGGATCTAAATCGTTTGATAAGATCGTGTACCAAACTGTTAGCACGATCTTATCGAAGGAGCTAACAATGTATAGTTCAGTTATTGAAGCTGAGAAAGCTAATTTGGAAGTATTCTATATATGTTTAACAGATTAGAACGAAAATGCAAACTTCTTTCATCTTCTATAGCCCGGAACATGACAAGACAATACAGATTTCAGCCCTCGAGTTATGTCAAATAAGACCAAACTGGAGAAACAAAAAACCCACAGAAAGAAAAAGGGTCTGACCAAACTGCCATTAACTGTCCTGTTCCGGTGTGATTGGAACTGCGCCCAGATGATCCAGATTCTGAAAACCCGAAAACTGTTAAATATCTGGAAAACTGAGGAAAGGGAAAACACACCTAAGCAAATTAGCAAGGTTGTTCTAGTCTTTTTCTTTTGATGGTGATGATAGGAGATGGTGTAAAGTCGCAGCTTGGATAACGGCGCTCGGGTTTGTATCCTTCATTGCGTGAGGTGGGGTCCGCCTTGCGTTAAAAACTCGATCTACACTGTTCTGCCTGGAATTCCGCAAAGAGCGTGGAAGATGCCGGACAAGCCGTGATGAACTCACAAGCAACACAACACCTACCATGATAAGTAGCCTGCAAAAGGAACAGAGCCCCCAATCAGGAAATGGTAATTCGATTTTGCATGCAATCTATTTACTTAAGAATAATCTGCTACGACAATCTACGGGGATGTTCTATTTCAAAATAAGATGCCAACAGTACAGGAGAACTGCGAAACAGAGCTTACCATCCAAGGAGAAGTACAAACCGTCCAGTAGGTGAAGATGGCAATTTTTCGCCTAAAGCAAGCATTCCAGCGAGAACACCAGTCACAATTGATGCTACAGCAGCGCAAGTGGAAACTATGATTGCCCTCCCATGTTTCAGCCCTCGAGTCTGGTTAAGTAAATAAAATGACTACGTTTACTTTGACTAGCATCATTATGACCCAAATACCTCGATATTTGTTGCCACGGGTAGAAATCCATTGAGTTAAACATGTTGAGAAAAGCACGGTACACAAATTTGTGGGTATATAAGACTATGGGGCAATAAAAACAGAGTAGTGTGCTCAAAGTACCTGATAGAAAAATCCAGTTCCGCTACAGCATATGCTCATAGAGATGCACATGGGAATGAACATTGCAGAGAAACCCTGCTCCACGAATACGAAACCCATCTTTGATATCACAGATGCCATGCTGTGACCAAAAGAGTTGAGACCGAAAATTAGCTACACAACAAGCTATACATGCCATGCTTCGACATCCCCTCCATCAGTATAATCCAACAGTATAAAGATGTGTAGATGTATTTGACCTCTAGTCTATGGGGACATGTCGCATATTGTTCCTTTTTGTTTCAAACTCAATGATGCATGGTAATCAACATTGCAACAGACAATGTTTGAGGGACAGGGGACTAAAACAGATCCAACGCAGGGGAGAGAGAGGGATGTGTTTAGAAAGGTACCCAAATAAAATTCCGGATTCCAAGCCATATATAATTTCTTCCACAACTTCATGCTCCATCTGTGTACCAAAGTTAAGCAAAATACAATTAGGAGGACAAAGAAAATTAAATGGAAATGATAAACTACAGGCTTTAATTGCTTGAGAAATATAAACAGTAAGAGGAGAACATACCAGCTCCTGCTCTCTGCGTTGCCGTTTGAAGATATGGAGCCACCCATTTAATAGAACCTTGACCAACGAATCCAACAACAGACAAGCAATCAGGATCATTGCCAAAGCCAAACTTGGGAAACACATACGACAATGTGAGATCATGATGAGACAAACAAAACCGGAAAAAAAAAATTAGCTTGCAAGGCAAAGGGGCATGTTATAGAGTTCAAGAAAACTCCATTGAGATGAGACAATGTAAAACATAAGTGGCAATGATACAAAAAGAGATAGGTACTTGTAGGATGCAATGGAGGAAAAGGTACCTACAAACAAGATGGCAACAATAAAAGCCAGCCACAGCAACTGGAAGACGGATATTGATGATGCTTCTTGCTCCTCGCCCCCAGCACCAACTCCTGAAACAAAATAAACATGAATGAAAAACTTCTCTATGCATGTTCAGAAATTTTCAAACCATATCCTGACATCTTAATGAAGAACCGTGTGTAGAAGATGGCTTTAAAACGTCATACACCATGTCAGATGTTGATAATGATTGATGTTACCTATGGTGCCAATGCCAGCAATCGTAATCCCAATCCAGTCAACAAAATTCATGGCTTCCTTCAGATAAAAATGCGAGAAAACAGAAAGAATTGCAAGTCCGCACCCAGAGACTGGCTGAACAACTGACACCTGAGAGGCAAAAGCAAATGACCGAAATCAATTCATCGTTCAGGGACGAAATTGGAACTTCAGATCATGCTTATACAGCTATTGGCTCTAGCTAATGAGGTTATCAATACCTCTTATAGTCATCTATCTCTGCACAAGAATAAAATTCTAGGGTATTTACTTACAGGGGCTTGTGATAATGCTCTCAGCATCAACAAAGCTCCGAAAATGTCCATGAGAAACCCAATTGCCCAAGCCTTGTTAACAGCATATGCCCTTATCACCTGAACATCACATAACATGAAAAACAAAGTGTGAACTTTATGCAACAAAATCTACCCTTCCTTGGAGACGTTTCCATACTTGAAATGCCAGAATCCTCCAGAAAAGGAATCACCCCTTTATCACTGGTTCTTCATTCACAGAAGCAGCATCTCTGGCTGCATTTACAGTACAGCATCTTTCGATCCCGATCCTATTCTCAATCTTTCGTCCAAGCAATTAAATCGACAAGAAACCCAGTTCGAATTCCCATACATCATATAAAAAAATCATAGTGAATAAGGTGATTCATACCGATACAAGATCAATCCGATCATAACGCAATTCACAGTCCGAGACCACATGCAAACAGAGAGAGAGAGAAAGAGAGAGAGAGAGAGAGAGAGAGAGAGAGAGAGAGAGAGAGAGAGAGAGAGACCTTGAGCTTGAGGGAGAGAGGAGGAAGGATAACGGTGCCCTTCTTCTGGAGAACTTTTCCGATATTGTTTCCGGCGGTCGCTACCAACGTCAAGCAGATCGATTCCCACATCTCTCCTCCAAAACGAAATCAATCGAAGAAGAAGAATGGGGAATACAAGAATAATACGATGGTTCGCTCCTGCAGATTCCTTACGTTATTACGTTTCTCTCTGTACAAGGTTATAGGGTGTGGCAATAGTCTTACTTGCTCTGGAAATAGCAATTTTGATCAACAACCGGTTACCCCATGTTCGGATCAACAAGATTTGGCAAATAACTCATATGACACCTCTAGAATTCAGGATTTTATGAATTACATATTAGTAATTAATTTAACAAATAAAATATTATATACGATTTCTTTTATACAACATGTGCGTACACTTATATATAATCTATGGTTGTTGAAGGAACGTTCTCCATTATTCCATTGTCTCAAAACTCATCATGTAACCGACCTCCTGCAAATTGATGAAGAAATCAAATAATCATTTTTTTTTTACAAAAAACATTGTCCCAATCTGATTATGGTTTAGTCCGGTTTAGTCAAACCAATCCGAAATGTACACTTAGACGGCTATACCAATTTCAACGTATAAAAAAGTTCATAACTCAACCAAATTGAGTACTCGCATAATTACTAATTAGAAACTTCAAATTCAGTTCTGTATTTATATAATTCCAACGAAAGTTAAGCTAATTCCAATCAAAAGTAGGCTAATTGTGATTAGAGATGGGATTAATCTTGATGCAAATTAAGCTGATCCAATCCAAGTCACCCCAACTTTGAATCATAAGGAAACAAGTTTCAGACAAAAGCAAGAAGCATGATTTCAGTTAAAAGAGAACAAACCCGGGTTTCGGCCATGGAGAGCTCATCTATAACCTACAAAGACTGGCTCTTTAACCCGAGCTCGACATCATATAAACAAGAAGTGCCTTGAACTGATTGATAGATTCATGATGAAAATTAGCAGGAAAGTTTATTTCAGTTAACAGAGAACAAACCCGGGTTTCAGACCATGAAAAGCTCATCACTAGCCTACAAAGACTGGATATTTAACTCGAGTTCAAGATTATATAAACAAGAAGAGCACCATTGATTGAACTGATAGGTTCAGGATGAAAATTAGCAGGAAAGCTGATTTCAGTTAAAAGAGAACAGACCCGGGTTTCGACCATGGAAAGCTCATCTCTAACCTACAAAGACTGGCTCTTTCACTATCACATAAACAAGAAGAGTATAATTGAACTGATAGATTTCATGATGAAAATGAGGCCGACCGAGTTTAGTAATCTATTACATAAGAAACATGAATCTCAGTAACATCTAAGGTACTGGAAGGACTTCAAAAAAAAACTGAAACCAGGCCTTTCGAACAATAAGGATGTACAGATCATTAAGTAAATGGAATGAATTAACATCTAAGGTGCTGGAAGGACTTCAAAAAAAAAACACAAACTGATCAGTGACTAGAAGAAAGATTCAAGGGGAAAAAAACAAAACTTTGATGCAAAGAATTACGATTGAACAAATTCAAGAATCTGGTGTCAGAATCTGATTCATCACCGCGATAATCGAACACAAGTACCAAATACGATTCCAAAGAAGATCATAAATCACAATGAGATTGACCAAATCCAAGCTTTTAAATAAATAATAGAGAATGGATGTTGGTACCTTATTCACTTGGAGAAACCAGAGACAGGTCTCACATTCTGCTTGGTAAACAAATAATACACCCACCTTACAAAGAGCATAATGATTCAAAAGGTCGCCATAGTAGATCTATCAAAAGTTCATTTTTTTTTCTCTAGAGGAACAGAGAAAACAGAAACTTCAACAAGAAAGCCTTAAAGACATGCTTTGTCAACGATTTGCATCACAAGTCCCAGGAGTACAGGTGAATTCTATTCTATGAGCACCACAAGCCCCCTTACCGAACTCTAGATTGTCCAAAACGGATCGATGTTCTGCTCAAATGAGGACATTTGGGACTGCAAAACAACTACCTATACCCTAAAGACAATAATCAGCAGGA